GTTAAGTTTTAGGATGTATAAGTAACTAGCGACCCGCCCCGGCTTCGCACGGGTGCAATACACGTGTACTATACATGACAACTATAGACGGCGGATAGCGACTTTGTTTTATAATATTCGTACTAATATTCGTACGATTAACCAAATCCAGACTGTAATAGATGTATTTGCGTGTCAGTTCAATGAACTCGCAAAGATTATTTTATATATACTGTGTTATAGGTTAGAGTAGTAGATATAGTTTTAGTGTTAAGTTGATGTTATTGGTCTGGGTATTGTTAATTTGTTATTGTTAGTTTTGTAAATGTCGTATAAAGTGCCACACTAACGCATTAGGTTATATAATTTACCTGTAATGTTAGCTGTAAGAGTTAAAATAAATAAATAAATAAATAAATAAATATGTAGTGATATTTTGGAGTCCTCTTTGAAAAAAACTCGCAAAGATTCCCTTTTTACCGACTTCATTAACTACTATTTAACTACAATATAATAAAAAATTCGACACCTAATAGGCTACCTTTAAAATTTACATAACATCGCGCCTTTTATCCCCGAAGGAGTAGGCAGAGGTGCACATTACGGCACTTAATGCCACTGTACAATGTAACACTCACTTTTCACTATTTATGTTATGAGTCCCCTGTAATAGGGGTGTGCCTATGCCATATACTGGGCACATTACCAGACTAAGTGCTACTAGGTACTGCAATTTTTTGAAAAAAAAAACCCGTAGTACTTTGCCTGACCCGGGAATCGAACCCGAGACCCTCTGTCCGGTAGTCGCACATACCACCACTCGGTCAAAGAAGTAGTAGAAGTAGTAGCAATTCAAGTCCACATACCCTGTTCAGTAGTAATTCCATCAGGTAACGCGAAGACCTGACTCTGTGGCACTCGTACATACTGCGCCCAGCCACCGTCTTTCCAAATGCCGATGGTGCTGTTAATGCCAGCTGTCAGGCAGTACTGGTAGTTACCCTTGCGGCAGAAGTCGCATAGGCTGCAGGAGCTGCAATTGGAAAGGTGGTGAAGTGTAAGTTATTGTATAATAGGGTAGATGCCTAATTTTTATTTTCTTGTCCGTCTGGTACATTATTTAAAATCATTAGACACGTATTTTTTATTTTATTACAGAAACGAATACTAAATTAAGTAAAAACGCGGGTTACTCACGTGAATATACTGAGAAAAGCTCTACTAGTTTCGAACCACAGAGGGGTTCTTCCTCATGAGCAGCGTGCGCGGTCGCGGCGACGTCAGTGAGCTGCGCGACGTCCCTGCTCATGAGGAAGAACCCCTCTGTGGTTCGAAACTAGTAGAGCTTTTCTCAGTATATTCACGTGAGTAACCCGCGTTTTTACTTAATTTAGTATGTCTCACGATAGTTATTATAAAAACAGAAACGAATACTTTCGACGATATAATGATTTGAAATGTCGCGTGACGTCACTTCTATGTACATACATTTTATACGTAGAAATGACGTTTTAGCCCCCACTCCTAAACTTTGATTCGTTTTATCTAAGTATTGTTTTATTATACGACGAAATAAAAAAATACGTGTCTAATATTTTTTCATTACCTAACTTACGGACTAATTACATTTTAAATTTTCATATCCTGTCATCATCCCAATTCTTCTCTCTCAAAAAAAGTGAATGTAAGGGATTACTTTATATCGATAATATTAATAAAATAGGAATTGTAAAAGGACGAGTCCTCTATTTGAGCCGTGGCAGCATAGTATATATATGTATATTACTTTTGTCTCCATGCCACCCTGCTCTTCCCGTGGGTGTCATAAGAGCCAACTTCATCATCATCATCATCAACAGCCTATAAGTGCCCATTGCTGAGCAAAGCCTCTTCTCAAACGAAGAAAGTTTGAGCATTAATCACCACGCTTGCTCAATGCGGGTTGGCGATTTCAAACTTATAATTAGAATTATAAGCCCAGGTTTCCTCACGATGTTTTCCTTCACCGTATGTTAGTGGTGTCTAGATAATCTTAGAAAGTACATAATAATATATAACTCGCAAATAGTCACATTGGTACTTGCCGTTGGTAAGTTTCAAACCCGCGCCCTCATGCATGGGAAGCGTGCGTCTTAAACCTCCGGGACACCACGACATATGATATATAAGAGCTAACTTAGGGACTACTTAATCAACAAAGACTCTGCAGTAGCTGTCTCTGATAAAACTGAACCTTTTAAACTACAACCTCCAACCCGTCTACCAAGCCTAAAATTTATGACAAACCCTCATATGAAATGGAGGCCTACAGTCCATCAGTGCACTGTTCCAGGCTGTTGATCCAAATAGGGACTTACGTGTTCGGGTCGATGACGACTTTCTGTCCAACTTTGAAGATAGAACTCTTGCCGACCTCATGGATGACTCCTGAAGACTCGTGGCCAAGGGGCATCGGGCGGGATTTGATGGCTGGGAATTCACCCTAGAAAGAGATACGACCAAATATTATGACTTCACTAGCTGTGCCCGCGAATTTTTTCGCGTGGAATAGTGACTTGGATTGTTTTACACAGCTCCTCCCCCGTAAGTGATAGCATCAATATATGTAGCCTATATGTTGACGCAACTTGTTAGTAATATTTATGCTGTACAGTCCGGACATACATACCTCTATAGTCAAACAGACAAAAATTTAAAAATCTTGATAGGAATTCTTTGTCAGCGTCTGTATTCCCTGAAGAGTGTCTTCAAGACCCAAGTGAATAGGTTGCTTATGGGACGACGTACTCTATCGTAGATCGCATAATCGCTTACCACCAGTTGAGATAGTGGTCAAACGTCGGCCCATCAACAAAAACACGTGGCATACCTACTTTTGGTCCAATTGCAATTTGTATTAATCCTGATAAATAGTGCAATTAAAATGTGATATGCGGTAATTAAACTGATGTTATCGCTATCAGAGTACTTGATGATAAGGATTGTGTGTGTAGCGTTAATTGCTTCATTACAACTGCCTTAGGCTCAATAGTATAGTAGTTTGAACTTTTACATTATACTGTTAAAATCAAAAGACCTAAAATATTGATAAAATCCAAACTCAATCATTATTATAACTGAAAGTATTGGACAATGTACACAAAAGTTATCAAGCTGCCTCCTTTGTCGAATCATCATAAGCAAAACGATTTTAATTCAGAAAATCATTACGTCTAGAATTGTGCCTTAAAGTTCAGGGAAACATTTTATATCTTTAACCTGATTAAATAATCGTAACCGAAATAAAAATCCTTATAGTCTTCTAAGTCTCTTTATAAAAAAACATGGTCTTTCCAGTAGACCATGGTATTTTCAATAAACCATTACCTGTATGATATGGAGATCAGTGCCGCAAATGCCTGAGTAGTGGACCTTCACGATGACATCATCATCATTGATCAGCTTCGGTAGTGGGTAGTCTTTTTGGTAATACAAGTTGAGTTTGCTTCCATCGAATACTACAGCCTCCATTTTTAGTTTTTACTGTAACAATGAAAAAATGTTTATATTTTTTATTTTATATTTAAATTTGACACAAATGCATAAGGAGAACTTAATAGTAACAGCATTCTCTGTCAGTCATATAATTAATTAAACGGTGGTTGAGTAGTCGTAGGTCCGATAATATTGGGTTCGATTCCCTGGTCGTGCAAATAATCATTTAGTATTTTTCGGTCTTTCGTAAGTTTTTACTGATAGCGCTGTGTCCGGAAATGAAACATATAGTACAACATATAGCATGAGAATATGTAGCCTATATGTTTACCCGACCTGTTAGTAATATTCATGCAAAATTTGAAGTAAATCAATGCAGCATTTTTGGAGATCATACCGGATATACATACAGACAAACAGACAAAAATTCTAAAAACCATATTTTTGGTATCTGAATCACGCCCAAAGCATTCTTTAAAAAAAATATTCGATGTACAGTTTTCACTTTCCTGCGATTTTATTATAATTATGTATAAATAGATAAAAACTGGTATTGATAGACGAGTTCACGTGCCAAAACTAGTTTATTTCATACATTATATCTTATTCAAAACATTATTATTCATTGAGACACTAATAAAGATAAGTTTATCTGTATCTTAAAGGAAAATTACAAAATAATACTGGTTTATACACATACCTACTTATGTATAATATTTGTCGGAGGAAGCACATTAATTTTTGTTTGTTTTATATTCACTTTTTAAAATGCCTAAATTAATTTAAATTGATTTGTCTCACTTAAAATTCTTAATTTGATTTATTAGAATTATTGACAATTTGAATTTGACTTCCTAAGTAACGACCAATCAGAGCAGAGCGCGCGCCTCGAGCGGGGTCGAGGCGCCATCTTACTGATAAAAAGAGAGATAGTTTTGGCGGGAGAGCATGAATTAGCTATCGGTCGAGGTGGATCGTTTATGTAATTTTACTGTAAGATCGGTGCCCTGAACCCGCTGCTCAGTCCTAATTATTAACTTTTCTATTCCGTTATTGTGAAACAGATAAAACTATTGTTACTATCTAAATTCAAATATTGTTTATTGTGATCATTGTGTTTTGTGCTCGCATTTTATTTTACCCTCATGACGCCCACTAAGCCCGCTATCACTAATGACGATGTCGGCGATAACAATGTTTCTCCGACATATTAAACATAACATCACACCTTTTATGCCCGAAGAAGTAGGCAGAGGTGCACATTACGGCACTTAATGCCACTGTACAATGTAACACTACTTTTCACTGTTTATGTTACGAGTCCCATGTAATAGGAGATGATGAAAAAATAAATAATTATACACCGTGAAATCTATTACGTTGTCGTCCCGTGACAAAACAACTTGCCATAAGGATAGAAGGAAAAAGAAAACACAAAGATGTAATTTTTTTAGTTTAAAAAAAAGCACGGAAATATGCACATTTTTTTTATGGCATAAGCCGGTAATCGAGCAGACCGATCACCTGATCGTAAGCAATCGGCGTCGCCCATGGATACCTGGAACACCAGAGGCGTTACAAGTGCGTTACCGGCCTTGGAATTAGGTATTTGAGAGGATTATTGGGGATTCAGGGATTAGAGAAAGGTAGAGGGGGGGGGGGGTAATTGGACATCCGGTAACCTCACTGACACGACGAAACACAACACAACGTTTCACATCGGTCTTCTGTGAGGCCGTGGTATCACTCCGTTCGAGCCAGCCCTTTCTTGCCGGAGCATGGCTCTCCCACACTTAAAGATGAAACACTAGACGTAAATGTAGGCACTATTTGCATCGCACCTGCCGCCCGACGAGAAACACTTCTCCGAGAATTACATGGCGTGATGTTTCGATAATGTACTATGAGTTCGTATAGGCTTTCGAGGGTTTTTGTTAACCAATTACTTTTTTTGTTTAATGTAGCACGCTGTGACGTCACATGAAATTTCAAATGAATATATCGTCAAAAGTATTGAAGTTTGTGAGAAAAGAAAAAATACGTGTCTAATGTTTTAAAATAATCTACCAGACGGACATTAGAATAAAATTTAGGAAATTACCGTATATTTTACTTTAGGACGAAAACGATATAGACTTCATGGTGTATTTGAAACGTGGGAAACATTTTCCTATTTTAAAATCGTTTAAAACAAAAGGTGAAGGATCACATCGTGAGGAAACACGGTAAAGGAAATCGTTGTTAGAATATCTGGACTTTATAATTTCTCTGTGTGAAATGATGCCATTAGTCAGCAGTTGGAATTTATAATCTGTGAATGTGATGAAAAAAAATATGTAAGTCATTAAACCCACATAATAAGTACCTAAACATAAATAATTGTCGCGGAGAACCTAACGGGTAACCGGGGCTCCGACTCGACGTGCAGGAGAAGGAACGCGGTGGTTTTTAGTCAGTAAGAGTCTGCAGCAGCATTCGATGATTTTCCCCCATTAAAAAAAAATAAACATAAATAATACTAGACATAAAGCGCAATAAATAATATACAGCAAAAACAAGGAAAATCGTAATATATTTTACCTCTTTCAATAATTTCCTTAAGAATGTATAATTACTTCCTAGTGCAGAACTTGTATAAACTCGACTAGTTCAAGAGAATGAATGTTAAGAAAGACAATAGGTACCTGTGAATGAAAATGAACGAATTATAGCGTTTGATACTCATTCGTCGACTCACCAGGTGAACAAATGACCAGGGTGCTTACTCTTGAAACCAATCTCAATGTCAATGCAATAAAATCTCAATAATTACTTTAATGTCAAAACTATACAACCCCTATTGTATTTGTTAAAATATCATTCAGAGTACGGAATATAAAGCCAAACTGAATACCATTTAGTTCATTCAATATCCACGTAATACGGATGCAATGGGCGCTAGCGTCGCATCTCAAGAGTACGAGATTACACAATAGCAATGTCACGGTAATATTACCGTGGCAATGTTGATTTGGATAGTCGCCAGTTTGTCTGTCAATTACATTTAGATTAAAGTTGTATAAAGGGCCTCTGCACAGTTGGCTTCGGCCCCTCATACGCCTCCCAAAAGACCGGGATTCTATGGTCCCGTGAATGGTAAAGACAAACATAATGATATCAATAAATAGAATTAAACTTTAAATAGTGTAAAAATCATATAAGGCGAGTTTATTAAGAAAAAATAAACATTTCTGCAGATATATTATTATTGAAACTCGAGTCGAGTTCCTCGTCAAATAATTACGTGAGTAAGCCGAAAACACAATAATATATTTAGTATGTCCTACGACAGTTACAATACAAATTTCTGCAGATGACGCCATCAATTGTTTATATCATCAGGTGATCCATCTCTCATTAAAAATATACCTACTTATAGCGATAAATCAGGCAATTTGAACGTGTAAGTTGGCAGCTATTAGATATTATATTATTATCTAATGTGTTACATTATTATATACGAGTAGGTGCTTATACATTATCAAATTAAGGATCGTGCTATCAAAACAATATTATTATGATCAAATTGATGACGCAAATAGAGAGTAGAAGATTACCTAAATATTATTAAACTGTCAAACACCAAGCGGTCGCCGGTGACCGCAACCTATTGTTCTATAATTGTGTCTACAAAACCGGTACTCGACGAGTTAAAGTCTAATATTTGAGATTTTTGCACTGTCATAATTTTATTCTTTGATATAATTTACGTGTGGAATAAAATTGACTGTTGGAGTAACAAATAGTGATATTAGAGAAAGGTGTGGATTGAAAGATGATGTAGTGACAAGGATGATGAAAAGGGAATGTTACGCTGGTTTGGACATGTAGAAAGGATGAATGAAAGTAGAGTAACGAAAGAAATACTGTACACAATGTAGATATAAATGGGGCTATTGGTAGAGAGCACTCTATAGATAAACATATACTGACCAGATTGGCGATATGTTAAAGAAGGGCAAAATTAAAAGTACCCTTAACCGACGAGCATGCATGAAAAGATTGATGACTGTTGATGAAGCGAAAGAGATATGTAGAAATCGTAATAATTGGCGTTCCATAGTGAAACAAGTGAAACAAATGAAACAAATGAAACAAGTGAAACAAATGAAACAAGTGAAACAAGTGAATTTATGTCTGCAAATAGGGAACAAGGCAGCACTTTTACACGTCAATTTTATCAAGCGAACGATGAGACCGACATTTCCTAACTGACTACTCTGAGAAGAAATGCCGAAATAAACTCAGAGGTCTGTCTCTTTTAAAGTCCAGACAATATGTATAACAGATTATGTGTGAGGACCGTGCAAGTTCTTTCTGTAGTGGCCTTTTGAGCTAGTCTATCTATTGTATTCTATACATATATATAATAAAATCGTAGAAAAGTCAAAACTGTACATTGAAATTTTTTTTAAAAGGATAATTGGAGCATGATCTACAATCGATACCGAAGCGTAAATATCGTTTTTGGATTTTTTGTCTGTATGTAAGTCCGGGATGATATAAAATATACTACATGGACATGTCGTGGTGGCCCGGAGGTTTAAGACGCCCACTTCTCATGCATGAGGGTGCGGGTTCGAGATCTACCAACGGCAAGTACCAATGTGACTTTTTCCGAGTTATATGTACTTTCTAAGATTATTTAGACACCACTGACAAACGTTGAAGGAAAAACATCGTGAGGAAACCTGAACTTATAATTTCTAATTATAAGTTTGAAATCGCCAACCCGCATTGAGCAAGCGTGGTGATTAATGCTCTAACCTTCTCCGTGTGAGAAGAGGCTTTGCTCAGCAGTGGGCATTTATAGGCTGTTGATGATGATACTACATGGATTTACTTCAAAATTTTTCATGAATATTACTAACAGGTCAAGGTTTCAAGAGTAAGTCCCGTATATTCCCAAGCGGTCACCGGTGACCGCTCTCCACTAACTACATTATAGACCTTATTTCCAATGTTTAGAGACTACTTTTGTATGAACAAATTTAGGGGTTGATTTTCAACGGGTAGATCAAGGGCTGTTGATGATATGGATTATTTTATGAAAGTATGTACTCACCTGTTCAAAATAGCACTGCACTTACGTTATTTTAATTTATCTACTTGATGTAAGACTACTTCTCGACGCCACACTACAAGACCAAATGCCTATAAGTTTGTCATGATAACTTACAACTTCACTTCGGTCGCATTCCCAAGTTACAATAAAAATAAATTGTCTACACCGTTTTACACCATATTTCTATTATGTCTATGAACCTTTTTCGAGTCAGGTCACCATTGTGACGCACCAATATAGAATTTTGTATTTTATTGTGCGTCCTGTGGTATTTTTGTACCAACAGCAGATAAACCTACACCTATCTGTCAAATTTATTTATTTGATATTCGACTCTATGTCAGTAAAATAAAGATGAGGATGTAATAGACAGAAAATGATAGGTTGACCTGCTAGCTACTGTAGGTACTATACTATTGCAGTTACCGCTAAAATTATATTAGACATACGGTGAAGGAAAACATCGTGAGGGAATCTGGACTTCATCATTAATCATGTTGTTATCATTAACAGCCTATAAGTGGCCACTGCTGACCAAAACCTTCTTCTAACACGGAGAAGGTTTGAGCATTAATCACCACGCTTGTTCCATGCAGGTTAGTAATTTCAAACTATAGAAATTATAAGCCCAGGTTTCCTCACGATGTTTTCCTTCACCGTTGGTCAGTTGTGTCTAAATAATCTTAGAAAGTACATATAAGTCGGAAAAAGTCACATTGGAACTTTGTCTTTTTTCGACCCCGGGCCGTCTCGTTCATGAAAAACGGGCGTCTTGAACTTCCAGACCACCACGATGAAATAGACCTGGACTTATAATTTCTAATTATACGTTTGAACGCCAATTCTGGTTGAGCAAGCGTGGTGATTAATGCTTAAACCTTCTACGTGTAAGAAAAGGCCATTGGTCAACAGTGGCCACTTATATCTGATGATGTACTGGATGCAGGTCGCTTCTAAGCAGCCTATCGAGAAATTCGAAAATCGAGAAACCATCTCCGTATGAGAAGAGGCTTTGCTCTTCATCGATGATAATAATTGTTTTTTTATTCATATGCCAACATCTAGAAACATCAAGCTCTGTTTCCTGAACTAAGCATTGCCTGTATCTCAGGATGCAGATGATGCTAGATATTTCTCAAAGCATTGAATTGAAGAACTGAAAATTTCGCATTGGAACCACTAAATGCCTCAATTATTGGAGTATTAGAAGATTTGGTTATTAAACTGTCAAACACCAAGCGGTCACCGGTGACCGCAACCTATTGTTCTATAATTGTGTCTACAAAACCGGTACTCGACGAGTTAACGGACTTCAAATAAAGGAGGTTCTTAGTTTTACCTACAGGCCACAAACATCCATACATACATGTGAGTGTGTATGTTTGTGCGCACTGTTCTCGCGATTGGCTGCACCGCTTTTGATGCAGGTTTGCTACACTTAAGAAACGGTTGTACCTATTAATTAACCGACTTCAAAAGAAGAGGTAAAGGTAGTTTATAATTATGTATCATCACTTCTTTTAATTCCGCAAACGATAGGTAGACCAGTGCCTTTAGCCAAACGCCACTTTAGCGCTTGTCTACAGAGAGAGTATAAAACTAAATGTATGGGGATGACACTGACAAGTGTCAAAATTTACGTCAATCCCATATAATTTGGTTTACTATTCTACATGAAGACAAGCGCTAAATGGCATTTGGCTACAGCTGTAGGTACTCTTTGCAACCCCACTTATCGCCTGATATATTTTGAGT